AATTTTAATATCTTTACCCTGCACAACACACAGTACACTGGGTGAGACCCGAGGCCTTAAAAAAAAAGTTTTTACCTACATGGTATTTAATCTCTTCTAGTGAGGAGATGGTGACAATTCAAACATTTATAAATGCATACTTATGATTTCTCTTCCTTTATCATCTTTCAATGTACTTGTCCTCAGTATTTTGAAAACTATTTAAATGTTTGCTTCATGGTGATACCTATAGCTTGTGAAGTGATATTATGGGCTGTTCAAATTGGTACTTCTGAATAGATTAATATCAAAAAATTATAAAAATCCACTAGTCTGTATTTCTCACCCACATACTTCTGCTGGACTGTTGAAACAAGTAAAGTTCACAAACACTTTATATATTTCATGTTGGATTCTTCCAACGAGTCAATAAGTGCCTTTTTATTGACTTTTTAATGAAACTCATTTTTTTAGCTTCCTCTTAAGTCAAGTGGTATTTTTTTCCTTATGTCTTCAATAGATGTTTCCTGTGTTAGTTTCTACATAGTTGTCACCGTTTAATACGGTGCCAATCAATACAGCCATTGAGGAAAACTTTATTTTATAAATGGTTCAAGAAATGTTTCGAGTTAATGAGAATAAAATAATAGAATTTATTTCGCCTCAGGTTATAGTAATAATTATTATTGACAGTTGGCAGTATGGCGAAGTCATTGACTACCATACCCAAATGAAGAAGAGAATGCTTTAACAGATTGAACTAGTATGTACAGACCACTGGGACCAGAGGGAATATAATGGAAAATAAATTTTGCCATGAGGATTCTAGAGGGTTTGTTACTTGAATTATCATAAAAAACAACGACTTGAAAATATGTTTCAGTTGAAAATCTAGACAGAACAAACCAATAAGGCTTCAACTCAAAATTGAGACCGTTTTTCATATCTCGATCAATATGTGCGTCAACATCTGTCAATGAAAATTGAATATAGAAAACATTGAAGAGATTGGTAGGTTATCGTTTGGAATCCAATATTTATCATATGTACCATCAAAATAATGCTGAGTCGTCTTGAATGATATCGGCGATAGTTGTGCAACAACATCAAGGAACTGTTCTCCATATTTCGATGACAAATCACATATAAAACAATAAACGTATAATTCGGGAACAATTCTCAAATACTTTCAATGATAAAACCCTAAATTATTTATGAATCAGTGATAAAATACAGTGCATTATGAATAATACTAAATACAAAGGTGGAGGCAACGAATCTTTCAAAAAATAAATAAATATAAATACTATACATAATTGCCAATAATACAATATAATACTTCAACACATTCTGAAAATATCACTAAATATCACTAATATTCAGCTATTCAAAGCTGATAACTCTACGCAAATTCCAGTTGTCACCAGAATAACTTCTAATACAAAAAACTATATTGTTCCAATATAGTTCTGACTTTAAATCTCCATTCAATGGAATGAAATCAATTTCGATCTGAATGGAAAAGCTAGTTAGTAGTTGCATGTTCATTGTTCCATTGTTCCAAATGTTGTCTGCCTATCAATAGCGCTACTGTGGAGGAAACTGTCAATAGCTCATTTGTTTCAATGTCAGTGAAACCGTTTTATGTTGGTGTTGTCTTCTTCTATTTTTTTTTAAACAGTACGCAACCAGTCAACCACAGATTGATAAAAGAGAAGGATATTCGTAACGATTGGTACTTGACTGTTTTGACGTCTGGTGGTTGACTGTTGACTTTCCTTTGTGAATTATCTTTCTCTGGATCCTTTCGAATTGGCTTGTATTTGTTGTTGTTTGTAGTTGTAAGTAGGTACTTCCAAGTTCATTGATTTGCTTTAGCTCCTGTACAGTGCATCCCATTTTGGGTTTTCGCGGTCCTGTGCAACTTTTTTTGGAACTCAAGATGGCCTGATCAGATTTTGCGTAACTGCATATCGTTTATGAAATACAAGGAGATTCTGAAAATTTAAACTTTTTGGACCTTCTCTGCATCTCCGAAGTTTCTCAGCGAAAACCGAAACTTATGATTTTTTGAATGGAACACCCTGTATTTTATTAGCTCATTAAATGACTCATTTTTTTCCTTCAAAATTAATATACAGGGTGTTTCTTGAGTACGTGTAGAAAATCCAGGAGCATGTTGCTGACCTTAAAATAAGAAGAAAAGTTTGTATAAATATATGTCCGAAAGTTATTCGTTTCTGAGATACAGAGTGTCAAAGTTGAATTTTTATTTTTGTTTTTTGTTAATAATTTCAAAATAATTGTGATATCGGAATAAAATTTGGTATCTAGGGGTATTTATCAATGACAATATCAAATGTTATGTTAGTTTGTCTCTTTCGTGGGGGTGGCACCACCTACATGTCTTTTGAGTCTTTTGAAAAGTTACAACTTTTTTGTGCCCTGTATAACGTTTCATAGTAAAAAAATAGATTTATAGAACACTTTTGTGTGAAAAATATATTCCTGGTAGAGGTCGCTGCGAGCAATTGTTTTCGAGTTATTGGGATTCGAAATAATCGATGCATTCGAATTAATTCCATGTGGCTCGTAGGTCACCTCTAGTGAATATCAGAAAAGGTACGCCAGTGCATTTTTCTTCTTTCATTCAATATTCTTCTTCATTCAACATTGGAATGTAGGCAAAATATGATTCTAACTTATTTGTACCTGCTATTTTGAACTCTTTTAATGAGAATTAAACTCTGACACTCTGTATCTCAGAAACGGATTACTTTCGGACATATGTTTATAAGAACTTTTCTTCCTATTTAGACGTCAGCAACATGCTCCTAAATTTTCTACAGGTACTTAAGGAACACCCTGTATACAGGGTGTCCCATAAACATACCGACAAACTTTAAGGGATGGTAGAGGACATCAAAATAAACATTTTTGCTCGATAAACATAAGTCCGGAAACTCTTCGTTTTCGAGATACAGGGTGTTGAAATTTAAAAAAAAAATCGATTTTTTTATTAATATCGTAAAAACGAACCGACGAGGCAATCTTTGCATTGAAGCAAATGGTCAAAATTTTGAACAATTATTATAAACCATATTATTATTTATCGTTAACACACAGTGAGTTATTAATGTCTTCCTGAATATTTTTTGTAAATTAATATTAATTATTTAACACTGAATAAACAAAACACCCAAAATATTTTATTTTTTTCTGCCAAAACGGACATTCTGATTATTAAGTGAACAAAAAAAAAATCATATGTAGATGTAAGAGATATGGTTTTTATTTGTTTCCTTCAAAACGAAGGTAGATACGGAAAAATTTCAATGGATGATATTAATAAAAAATCGATTTTTTTTTTAAATTCAACACCCTGTATCTCGAAAATGAAGAGTTTCCGGACTTATGTTTATCGAGCAAAAATGTTTATTTCGATGTCCTCTACCATCCCATAAAGTTTGTCGGTATGTTTATGGGACACCCTGTATATAATAATGCCTATATACAGGGTCGCTGATATGTATGGAAACAGGTGAATATCTTGGCAATCTGTTGTTAGATTTGTTTGAATTTATGTACAGTGTGATTTCAAAACGTGGCGGATTTGAAAATGTTATAGCCTCTGTTGCCACTCTTTCAGTTATTCCGGATTTCTTGTAACTTCCTTATTCTGAATGAAACGCCCTGTTCTTTATTGGATTTCCATATTCTCCTTGAAGAGCTGATTCCATCGATCTATCACACTTGGGGTCGAGCTGGAATGATTACATAGGTATAGGGTGTTTAAAATCTAGGTTTTTCAACTTTAGGATTTTTTTGTGTAGAAACTATCCATAATCGATCAAAACCGCTCCGATGTTCCTATCTTCACTTTTGATTCACTATCTACTGACTATTTCATTGAAACAGATACAGAGGGTGATCAGAATTCGGAATCTTGAACCACCCTGTATTTGTTTCAATTAAATGTCAGTAGATAGTAAATCAAGAGTAAAGATGGGAACATTGGAGCGGTTCTGATCGATAATGAATAGTTTCGACACAAAAAAAGCTTAAAGTTGAAAAATCTAGATTTTAGACACCCCATACCTATGTATTCATTTCCGCTAGACCCCAAGTGGAATAGATCGATGGAATTATCTCTTCAAGGAGAATCTGAAAATTCAATAAATTACAGGGTGTTCCATTTAAAATAAGGAAGTTAATAAAAAATCCGGTATAACTGAAAAAGTGGCAACATTGGCTATAACGTTTTCAAATCTGCCCCGTTCTGAAATCACACAGTACATTAATTCATAAAAATCCAACAACAGGTTACCGAGATATTCATCTGTTTCCATACATATCAGCGACCCTGTATTTCAGGAATGAGGACATTTAGTTGAAGTGAGTGAGCATGATTAAATATGTTCGGAATAACGGAATGTCATGAATTATATAGTTACATCAAAAATATGAAGGAAAATAACCAGCTCCTACCTTTCTGCTTTGCTTGCATGACAAAAAAGTGCGAACAGTTATGTTTTTTCATAACAGCACTGATGAGTTTCAGCCAAGGTTTCCACAGTTCCTATTCACATTCCAATAGCATCATAAATCGAGCTAATTTAGCATTGCGAAAACAACTTCTTGCTTCCATTCAAGTATATAGGTAGATGATTTTCATACTTGATATATCTTTCTTGTTTCAACCTTGGGTTTCAACATGAACGATTTTTATTTACAAACTTGACAGGAACATAAAAAATGTTTGTTAGGAATGAAAAATGAATTACTTAGTTCACGTAGATGTCTCTGCGGTACAGAAAACTGTCACAATAAGGACGATTTTCGCTTTTTTTTTTTCAATGAACAGACAATATTTTACATTTCGTCTACTAACTAGCAGACAAGCTTTTCCATTGAGATGGACAATGAATACAATATTCCACAAGAGATATGATAAATACTTCATTAATAGTATTGACAAATTGAACAAAACAAAAGCTTTAGTTATTCTTTCAATTATTGTTGTTGAATTCCATGAACTCATCATGAACATTCAAAAAATTCGAAAAACCCATTTTCCAATTTCATATCACGAAAACTTTCCTCTTAGGTTAGGTTAGGTGTTGAATGATTTACATTATATTCTGGTGACACGTAACTTCATAAAATTGACAAACTAACATTTATTTTGGAAACTGTAGCTATTCATCGGCAAAGCTAGAATTTCTACAAAGCTATTAACCTAGTTTTACTATCTTTCCATTTTTCCTGCAGTTGTTTGTGTTCTTGCAGATCTTTTTCTGTTATATGTCTCACTTGACTGCTCAATTTTCTAGGGTCAAAATTTGCTCCGATATTTTGGACTCCTTTTGCCAATTTACTGAAGGGATTCAGAACCTATAAATATCAGAACTAAAATTATTTGAGATTTCACATTATTTATGTACCAAAAATTAGTAATAACCAAGGTTTGCAATTATTAAAATGAGGAAATCGCCTTGTCCGTATTTGAATGCAGTTTGACCGTCAAAATTAACTGCGAAGCACCCATAAATGATTCAGGCTTCTAGCATTGCTGATAACTAATAAGATGGACTGCAAGTAGCAGCATCCGTCGACACTTGAATAACACTTGAAATGTTTATTTTAAAATTGAGTGCAGTTGCATGTTTAGGTCGTTTTTTGACTCAAATTCTGACTTGCGCCGCTACAACCATTGGATAGAACGGCTAACGGTATCCTCTATTATATATATTCCATAATATTCTTCAGGAAAAACCATTCTACTTAGTTTTTGAAGGGTATTATCATCACATCGAATCCTTCTCGGGTCACTTTTGTTCATCATCTCTGTAAATGACATATTTGAGTTCATGCAACCAATCAATCTTGATTGCTGATGATACTACTTTTAATAGTTTTTCTGGACATCATCATTGTGATCTCATTTATACAAAGATAACAGAAAAACCTGAAAACTGGCTCAAACACAATGAATTGAGAAATTAATACTAACAAAATGGAAATGATGGTACCTAGTGTCAACGCACCCCTTACCATTGACCTTCCCTTGCTCCTCGAGCCTTTACAGAAAAAAACTTTCAAGTACGACAACTCAGAAGTATCATTGATTCTGATATACATGACTGTATTTGTTTCACAGTTATATAAATTGTGGGATTTCATCATGGTGAAATTCTCCCCATTCTATTATATTTCGCCAGTAGAAAGAATAGCTATGAGAATAATGGTTAATGAATCTCAAAATTGTGAACATTATGCCATTGCATAATGAATTCATTTTGATATATGCAAGAGGTCTAGTCAATACACTCAATACTTGCTGATATGTTGACATCGACTTCCCCTGCATTCTATCTTCTGATTCAATGGGGTTGTACACACTATAGTCGAATGTATACCATATATCTATTTTATTTTGATCATTCCATGTAATAATAGTATTCGAAAGTCATTCATTACTTGAAATCATCACAATTTTTTCTTCAATAATCAAATAATCATCTCTCAAAAACGCTAGCTCTCGACGTCTTGACATACCGATAGGCACTATTAGTGTTTTATTGCTCAAAAACTAATGAAATTATTTCCACATTCTACTCAGAAATAAGAATTGACTTCCACTGTAGGAGCGTACTGAAATATACACAATACGTGAGTCGTATGACGTCACAAGCTGTTTTTCCTGTTATGAAATATCATGAATTTTGATAATTATTAAAAACATGTACAGAGCTCTAAGGAGAAAACGGTTTGCGACAGTGAACAAGTTTGGGTTAGTACTTCACAATAATTAAATGACAATTTCCACTGAAACAGGTCCATTGAAGAATATAAGTTAGCAGTGACCATCTAAGATGATATTGAAGCGGGTATAACGCATATAACAGGCGAAACAAGAAACATCAGACCAACTGTAACCCTGAAATATTCTCGGTAATACAATATTTACAGCAAATTGACTCAGGAAATGTGCAATATATTGTAATCATTTCTCATGCATTTGTCTAGATGACTTTTTGCGGCCCACAGAGAATGTACATAATGTATATGGATAAATTAAATATTCTATCCCATGGGTTGCGTGCAAGAACTGTCAGATGACCTGGAGGCACAACATTGAAACACAACCTCACTTTTCTTATTTGTTTACAAGTGATTGAAATAGTTTTTCACAATTATTTTGGCATACGAATCGTATTTTTCGGCTTTTCATTAATTCGCTCATGCCATCACATTGTGCTGTTGTACAATGCACAAAAACTGCAGCGGAAGACGAAGGAATCCGTTTGGTACATTATGATTTAAAAGTAAGTAGGTACCTACTATAGTAACTCACATATAGTTTTCATTTTTGAAATTTGGTAATTTCTCTGATTTCTCATCAAAATTCCTTCTGTAATAGGAGCTAATAGAAATACACGTGAAATTTCTAAAATAATGCAAGAAGATTGGATTCATGCAATCAAATGGGATGACTGGTCTGACATGATGACGAAATAAGATTTGATTCAATCTATTAGACGAAATTTCATAATGAAAACTATGTGAGATTACTATTTACCTGAAAAATCATATTCCTTCGTCTCTCGCTACATTTTTTGTGCATTGTACAACAGCACACAATGCGAAGGCATGCTTGAATTAATGAATAGCGCAAAAAACACGATTCGTATGCCAAAATATTGTGAAAAACTATTTCAACCCTTCGATTCCTCTGTAAACAAATAAAAAAAGTTAGGTTGTCTTTCAATAATTCACAGAAGACTGAGGTTGTGTTTCAATATTTTGCTCCAGGGTCGATCATCGTGCACGCGACCTATTCTTATCTGAAGGATTCTGATATAACCAATAAAAAAGTAAAAAACTGCTACATACTCAACATAATACATATGATTCTTCAAAATCTGGAGGGGATATAATATTTACATAGGTAGGAGGTTTTATAACTTTCATAAGAATAATTCGCCTATCAAATAATTGTTGTTTGAGTTGTACTTGAAACTAGACTGCCAAGAAGCAGTAGATTGGCATCTGGAGACTAGAATAATGTGAGGTGTTGGTCTTAGAAACAATATACTCACTCGTACCATTTTATTCAGAATGATTTCAAGACAGCAGAGCTGAAGGAGGACTTGGTTTGCTTTTTATTGTGTAGTGAAGTTTATTCCAAATCTAATTACTCGATTGCTTTACACTGATTTACACTGATCGCTTTTATTCAACTGTATTTGAATCAAAGTATTGTCATGTTTTATTGTTCCACAAAATCCACATATGTATTCGTTTTTTTTAATGGAGTTCAGCAACCCACAGCTATTGGATAACGAAATTTCCGCTCCATGTAACTATGAGATGGTAACATGTTGGCGTATTTTTCACATATTTTAGTAGATAGATAGATAGATAGATTTATTTCACTACGTTACATATGTATGAGATATATACGGATATATATAGTACGGACCACGACGATTACTTCAATATGTCAGTTGATGTTCAGAAGATAACACTACGCCGTCTTCAAAATGTTACAAATTAATACTTGCATTATGCAGATTTCAATTTGTTGCTTCTACACCAATAAATATCTTTTAGTATACCTATTTAGTTGACAGCTATGATATTTTGCTAATGCTCAAAATCGAAAACCATTCATTATTTGGTAATTGGATAAACAACATTGATTTTCAACGTACTACTATTATTCAAGTTCGAACAATTTTTTTCAAATCTTGGAGCGCACGAAAAGGAATCCTTGTAATTTTATAATAAGAACATCGTGCGTGAGGATAGGGTGAGGAGGTAGGTATTGGAATTTGTTTGAATACTTTCTTTGGCACAGAACAATAAAATGGATCCATAAGTGTACCGGTACAACTGCTTCAAGGCATTATTTCAATAACACTGTTACAATGGCAGTCTATAGTTTGAATGATTGAACTGTGTATAAATTATTCGATTCCGTATCAATTTAATCATGAACGATTAGATGCCCAAAATGAAGTTATAGGTACGATGAAGGTCAGAAGTGACTTGTTGTAATTTGCAAATGCTGATTTATCTAACCAAGATTCAATAATTTACTGATTTCTACGAAATTTGACATTAATGCGACTCAGCGCCACGTCATCTTTGGGCAAAATCCTGAATTCAATAGTAGTAGTAGTATTTCTTCGTCATAAACAAAGAAATGGTAGACAACATTTCATGCCAAGACAATATTACACTCACCAAATCTTTAGTAGCACTTCCAAGTGGACTACTCATGGTATTCAATTTCTTCAACGCAGATTCACTCTGTGACTGTGATATATTCAGCTGAATTTCATAATTCGATGTTGATCTATCGATAGGCCTATAGCCAGCGTTTTCTTGCACATCAACTTCTCCTGAGGAGTGACTGAACGTTTTATCTAACATCAGGCTATTAGGAGGATCTTTCTTCAGGCATGGCCTATCCAATTCTTCAGAGTTTATTTGAATTTCTGGAGTGGGATTCATACCAGAGGAGATAGAAACGCTTTGCATGATACTTGATAACTGTACTTCGTTCATTTGAGATGAGTTTTGTCTGGTTAACAGGTTATGTTTTTGCTGTAAAACGCCCTCAAGATTCGTACAGTCACTCTTATGGCCCATCACTATACCCACGCTGGGTAAGAAAGTGTCTGCTTTCGGTAGGGAAACAACAGCATCTTCAGTAGCTTCCAAACCTAAAAAGCATACTGACTTAAATTCTCCAAAATTACCCAGTATCAGTAGGGATGAATCCGACTGCTATGTTATTTTTTTCTTAAAATTATTAAGGCCCCATGAATAATTATTTTAAATGATTTTGAAATTTGAATATCTGAAAACTTTTTTGTTTGCCCGATATCAAAGAAGATATCGGAATTTCTCGCAACCAAAACGCCAGTGTTCTTTTTTCGTGAACTGTATTTAATTGAGGATAATAATATTTTTTGGAAGTCAATTAGGTTCACTGACTTGATCATATCTCACAATTATGTTTCACCACGTTCAGTTATATCGAAAATTATCCCAACTTTAAAATTTCGAATGAAACACCCAGATTATATTTTCTTCGCCTGAAGATTATCCTTACAAAACTTGGATTAGGATAGATTTGATAGTAATTCAATAAACTACTAGTCGAAGAGGGAAAAAATCTTGAAGTCGTCCTCACTAGTTTCCAATTCTCAGTAGACAGAAAAAGACTAGATTCTTTCGTTTTTATTCAACCATTTTTGTGATGCCCTAGATGCTTGATTTTGGAAATGAGGATGTTATTTTTTCAATTTAAAAGAGCCAGTTATGACACAACTCTAGGAATATTTTTCAGAAAGTAATGAGCAAAGTGCGTCAATTTTTTTTTATATTGTCTTTAAAGGATGCAATAGTCCCATGGCTCCACCTAGCTGCTATTGCTAGTCATTATCAAACTACTTCACGTATCTAACCAAAGTTTAGGACAGTTTTGTAGAAGTTACAATTAGAAGAAATCAAAAAATATCGAGATCTAAAAGTTGCAATAGAACGTTCTAATTCAAGACATATGTGAAATTGGAATGGAAACAACTTTTCTCGTTAGAGTTTCTTGAAATGCAAACATATAAGCTCGAATGAGCTTATTTTTAGCGATTGATTTGAAAAAATGTAACTTTTGACATGTAGCGGAAGTCCCGTGACTCCGAACGAGTAGGCCATTTTTCCACAACTTTTTTGAAGCAAAACCTAAAGCCCAAGTCGAATGTCAAAACAAATTATTATAAAAAGATTTTTCCATATGATGCTAACTTTGTGCTCTTCAAATATTACACTGTACAGATCACTTTGAGCTGAAATGTACTACTACCAGTGAGTAGATATAGTTATGAGAACGAGTTCTTTGAATAGGATGAGTAATAGTTTCAATTACCCAGCAGAATCTGCCTGCAACTGACAATACCTGATGAAATCAATCATCTAACTTTGAAATCAATCTAACCACTTTCAAATTCTTGAATAATTTGGGCGATGTCGAGAATACCTTACATATTTGTCTCTGAACTGTTGGCACAATTTATGAACCATATAACAGTAATAAACCACAACGAAGAATTTCAAAAAATGTAAGAATATAATTGAATTTATCGATAATGGATTTTTTTAAATTTTTGAAAATGTAAATAATTAAACGGATAGGTGAACATACCAGTATATAAAAATCATTTCAGAATCGGATATTGTTTTAACCTTTTCCTGGAGATGCTAATGTAGTTAGAAAAAAACACGATCAAGAAGTTTAAGAAATCGGTTTGGTTAGTGGTAAAACAGTGTAGTGTGATTATCATGCAAAAGGTTCCACTCTTCAATACAATACAAAACACTTTTTTCTGTACTTTTGTACTTCTTTTAATGAACCAAGTTTCATGAAAATAATTCAAATGGCTGAAACTACTTAAAATCAGCATTTCAATATTTTTCGTCAATAATGAAAAACTTCACAGTGGCAAAGAATCTGACTCATATCACTTAAAATTTTCTGTAAATCAACAAAGCATTGCAAAGCACACAATAAGTTGAACATTTCTTAGTATTATTTTGACAATTAATTCTGTATAATTACTTTATACAAGCATAAAAGTCTTATGTAATATTTTTTTTATAGTACCTTGTTCAATAATCTGATTATATTCAGAAACCGTTGCATATGGTGAAGACACTTCATGTCCTGTACATTCATCTGGCTCAAATATATTATTTTCATAGTCTTCTTCAGATTCACTAGAAGTTTCATTCTTTGTCCTTTGGCCTATCATGAAGTTCGTCGTTTGTTTCAATTTGTTAGCCTTGAAAGTGTTTCCGATTTTATTCAATCTCGAGATCTGTTGACCCATGTTTGAAATAGCTTTTGAGCCTAAAAATAATTTTACAGAATATCAGTTGAGACACAACTTGTGGGTCAATTAAAAGAGCAACTGGGTGTTACTGAAAACTTTTGAATACTGTTCTTCTGTTAACATTCAACGACCAGTTGTTAAAATATTTTTTTCTCAAATAGGGCAGCTGGAAATTTGGTTGAGCAAATAATATTACCATCTATTTATTTGGTTTCAGGTGAGTACAAATAATAATAATGAGTGTGGAAGTATCATAAATTAAATATTTCCATAAATATCATATTTTTGTCAACTTTGTTTCATCTTACATAATTTCAGAATTTGCAAATAAGTAAAGTTGTATAATTAAAAATTTCTAAAATACATTCTCACAAAATAATCCCCATTTCTACTGCTGACAAACCTACCATTTTTGAATATGTATCACAATAAAACACTAGTTAATATTCATAAACTTTAATGAAATTGAAAAAGTTTCATAAATTATATGTTATCTTGATATTATTATTGGTTATGATTGATAGCATTTTGGATCGATCTGCCCAGATTTTCAACTCACATGGTATACATAAAGAGAAAAAACCTATGAGTGAAAGCAAGAGGAAATATCTGGACGGAACATGATACTTCATTTCAAAACACAAAATATTTACGAAAAACCATAGACCCACTGATTATTCAAACAGTTAAAAGATACTAACATAGTTAGGAAAACAAATGTAATTATCAGGAATAGTGCAGTGGGTGGGGTGCTTGAGTAATAACCAGAACATCGAAAGGTCCCTAGATCAAATCCCTAGCAGAGCAGAGGTTGTTTATTTATAAAACGACTTATAAAATCTAATTTCAGTAGCCTCGGCAGTAGATGATTCCGCAATATTCGCTGTTGCGTTACAATTAACAATGAGTCTTCTAAGGTGGCGCATGGAGTCAGTAACAAAGCCTACACAGAACAATGGCTTAAGACAATTTCGTAAGGTCAATGGCCAGTTGGTGTGTACATACACACCAACAAATTACATATACTACTACTATAGTAATCATCAATAATTGGAAACCAAAGCATATCCACAAATTATTTTTCAATTTCATGAAATTCAACCAGATGAACAAAATTGGTATTGATTGCTATTTCAATATTGTACACATCAACTGAACCAATCTTCACAGAACTGGAAACGATGCTCGTCTGGTATATCTAAAACCTTCTCCATTCCTTCAGATTGGATGATATAGTACACTGAAAGTATGAGAAATATTAATGCATTGAATACTCCAGTGTTCTACCTCGAAATGTCTCTGACAATAATACACTGAAAATTTGTTGCTTACCTCCCTATATGCCTGTCACTATCCAAATCCATATACATTCACTAATTAATTTTTTCGAATTTAATGATGTGCTTGGATTATTTATTTGAATAGCAATTTCGTGAAGCACACACAAGCCTTTTATAACGTGAAACATCATATTTGTTAAGACACTATCAAAAAATCTATAGAAATAAATAATGTTATCAACCAAAAATGAGGCACCAACTATCAAAAACATTTCAAAATAAATTCATATTGACTAAGCAACACTACAGTGTTTCATTTTTATCGTAACAGTACTCACCAACATTCTTCAGAGATAGCAATTGGCTTTCAGAAACATTTCGAGTCATTTGAGGCAAAGATGTTATATCTAAGTAGATGTTACTGCTTGACGTACCGCTACTTATCACTTTAGATTTCCTTCTGTCAAGAGGTTGACCAAGTCTGAATGGCACAGGGGGTAGGCCGCAAATATCCAAAGCAATCAAAATTCCTTCACAGATTGCTTTCAGGGATTCTGTAATTCAATTTCAAATATAATAACTGTCTTGAGTCGAATGCAATAGAAGTAGGGTGCTTAGAAGATCTGATGTTAGTATTTTCGAGATTGTCTAGACAAACTTCTTGTCAGGTCTTGAAACATGTGAAAGAAAGATGAGACAGATGCTTTCTATAAGAGATGGAATGAGACGTTTTGTACCTTTCCATTTAACTAAAGCAGACATATTTTTCTCGTAAATCCAAAGAGGAGTGGGTGACTGGAGGCATATTTTGTAATTATATTATTATATTATTCGACGTATTTAAACAAACAATATTTGCGATTTATTGATGAATTATGAAATACTGTTTCATGTTTTTAATGGAGTGGTATGAAAATGAGAAAAGTATAGAGTGCAGAAAGCATTTGCTTCATTCTCGGTTTAATCAGACACGCTAAAATTCGAATATTTTGAACCAAGATCATAATAGTAAAATAGTTAAAAACGATTAAAATAACCATGGACTAGAACTATATTTTGAAACACTTTATCCTAATTGACGGATTCGAAAATTATCTTCATTGAAGTATACATACAGAATGTAGCTGACAAATCAAGAACATATTGATAAGTCAAATATTATGACACTTTGCATCTATCTGTGGATGACATGTGTGTCTTCAGATTCTAAGTCAGATCTTCTAGGCACTCTGAATAGGAGTATATTTTCAAAAGTATTACAACTAAACTATTGGCTGTCATGAATTTAGTTGCAGTTTAATAAATCAGTTTCAATTATAATTATACTCCCAATACAATCAAATACTCACCTATTTCTTCATCGATGTTTTTAATGACAACTGCTAGATTATTGAAGAACCTAAAGCTAGTAGACCTGAACATATGGTAATATCCACTGGTATTATTGACTTTATAATTGATTCTGATGCAATGTCTATGTTTAGATGCTTTGAATAATGAACTGTTGGATTCTGCTATTCCAAACTCTAATAGAGAAATGTCTTTTAGCATCACCTGTTGGTATTTGGTTATTTTATCTACTTGATCGTCATAATCTGCCATAAAATATGAGTCTTTGGTAAGAATTAGAATCGAGTCCATTTCTGTTTCGTTAGGGTCTCCAGTGACAGGATCAGCGTTAATGAGTCCCCAACTACCGACAACTAGTTCAGGTTCATTAATGAGCATTTTTTTACAATCTTCTATTAGAAGTTTCACATGTTCAGCAGTTGCGATGTTGTCTTCTTCAAACTGTGATACTTTCGATTCACTGAAAATGTCTTCAGATACATAATTTCCTGAAATGAGAAAGTTAGCATCGAACATGAAATTAAGTTTTTGAACTAACCCAACATTAAATCTATAGTACCCTGTCTCGTTGAATCTTTGAACCGACTCAAGTAGTATCTGAAATACAGAAAATATAAATAATTAAAAATGATTTAACGATACAAAAGTCGGGAGAACCAGATTACCTTCTTGGAGGATACTTTTCCGCCACTGTTTGTTTTTATGGAAACGTGCAAAAATTTTTGTATTTTTGAATAGAAATGAAATAATTTTGAATGATAGTAGATTATTGAATTGAGGAACTGTTTCCTCTAAGATATTTTGTGACAGTAGCAATTAACTTTCTTCACACATGCAGAAAAGTGGAGAATCTTTGCACACTGACTTGTGAGCATATAAGCGATGTAGTAAGGCGGCATAGAATAAAAAGTATACACTCTGTACTACAAGCATGTTCTCCATTATCAAACATTATTTAAACATGGTTGAGCATTTCATATTGCTCATGTGTATTGTTTGATTGTGAATGTTTGGAAATCGCATTTTTATCAATATCAATTATTCGTAGATGAACATATAGTTCAATAGTAGGTAGCTGAATTATTTCGATTGATCAAAAAATGTGTTCTAGATGGGAACAAGAAATCAACGGATATGACAATTGACACTATATTGATTGTGCGATATAAAAGAAGACATCAAAATCGTTTTTCGAGGCGTCATTCAATTGTCTTCTGAGTTAGACCCGTGAAAAAGTTAATAAATATCACTCGGTTTTTCAGAAAATAGGCCAAAGTCGACAAATATTTTATGTATATTTTTGTATGAATTACTTTTATTGTCATAATCCTTCAAGAATATCTCAATGATAGTAATAATTCAGCAGACCATATTATTTATTTTCTAGCCCTACTGAAGATGGCGAGATGAATGAAAAAGTTTGTAAATTTCTAAATATTTTATGGTTGTGATGGAAGTTCTTATTCTCATTAAAGTATGATCCAGAAACCAATACTGAATAGTTTATCAAACCAGTTCTTCAAAAGAAAAGTAAGGAGACAATCAAAAAATTATTAAAATTAATTATGAAAGTCCTTACTTATTAACATTAGAGAATGTATGGAATGAAGAATCAGTAAACTTGTGAAAATTGAAGCATTTTTTTACACTTCATGTTACACTTATAATTGGCAACTCCAGAATATTTTTTTCAATGGAATATTTTTTGGATTCATAATAATAATCTTAACCAACTTCAACGGAGATTTGATAAGATTCTAAACACCGCTTGAAAGTTCAGTTGGATTATGGGTACGTTTCGGCCTCAGGGGCTCACAACTTGTGAGCACGGGATTGGCGAACCCGAGGTACCCTAGCCGGATAATCACCATTCTTCAACTAGTCTTAGGTGATATCCTCTACTCTTGTCAACTTTCATCTATCCTATCGGCCTTCCTTGGCCAACTCTTTTTCTTCTCTGACCCTAATCTAAGTTGTGAGCGTCCGTGGCGAGGGATGAATGGCACCGGGGGAGTAAAATACGGTGTCGCGAACGGAGCCTCCGGGAAACAGGGCGAAATCCCGGAGTAACCAGCCTTGGCCCTGTGTGGGGGCGCCACAGGGCTCGACCAACCCCTTCCCCCTTACTCGTGGGATCAATATGGACCAAAGAGAAAATGAAAAAAAACCAAAAAGACCCGAGGAGGGATCGGATAACTCCGACTCAGACTCGGGTAATATCACTGTCAGGGAAGTAATGGCCGTAGACAGTGATAACGACAACGGGGAGGGATCCATGCGAATGGACGACCTCACCGTACCACCAGTGGCAGGGCCTGTCGAGCAATCGGCAGTTAACAAGGACACTGGTAAAATAACCGAGGGGATCAAGAAAATCGACCTTGTGAAGAAACTCTCTGGAGCGCAGCGAAAAAAGGAGCTGAAAGAGAGGAAAATGGCAGCCGGGACGTGGACGGCAGAACCACCTGCTCAGCTTAGAAGGAAAGCTGAGAACAAAAAAACAGAGGGGGTAGGAGGAACCAAGAGCGAGGGAAACAAAAAAAGACCTCGATCTGACTCCCAGACCCCTCCCAAAAACCAAAATGTCAAGAGGGCCAGGAACACGAACGTGTCGACTGGTACCTACAGTGACATGACCAGAGGAATCCGGGTGGCCGTGATCGACAGACGACACCCGGACGTATCACTGAACCAGGAGCAAGCAGAACTGGTCCAGAATGCAATTGTGGATGCACTCTACGCGGCTCCATCAGGGAGCGAGGGTGCAGCACAATTCGAAAGGAGCGGATTCAGCGCAGGGGTCTTATCGGTGACCTGCGCGAACGAACGCAGCCTTAACTGGCTCAGGGAAACGGTCGGCTCCCTTGGGGGGCTATGGGAGGGGGCTGAATTGACTGTTGTCAACTTCAGGGACCTCCCCGTCCGCCACAGGGTGTTGGTCTTCGTCCCTGGGGCAGTCAGAGAAGAGCCATCAGAGTTCAGGCGGCGTCTACAACTCCAAAACATGGAGCTACGAACGCAGGAATGGACCCTGGTGAACAGGAACACGGAGAGGGAAGCAGGACAGACCTTAGTCTTCTCCGTGGACGAGGTCTCCTTCAGGACACTGGAGAGGATGCACTTCCGAGCGTATTACAGGCTCGGAAAGGTACTCTTCAGGGCCCTGGAAAAGAAGAAGGAAGGGAAGGATAAGGGTCATCCAGACGAACCTCCAACACAGTAAGGTAGCCTCGGCAGTACTTACTGTAACCATGGAGGGATTCGACGTGGCCCTTATACAGGAACCATGGATAAGACATGGTAAAATAATGGGTTTGGGGGGGACGAGCAGAGAGCTAATTTATAGCAGATCGGCCGAGACCCCTCGAACCTGTATACTAATTAAAAATGATTTAAAAATATTGCCGTTGACAAACTTCTGTTCTAGAGATTTAACGGCCATCAAAATCAGGATGAAAGATGGTAGTGGGACGAGGGAGTTAGTACTCGGATCGGCCTACTTCCCTTCGGATGATCCTGAACCACCACCTACGAGGGCTGTGGAAGAACTGGTGAGGGACTGCAGGATAAAAGGACTGCAGTTGATCATTGGGTGCGATGCGAATGCACACCACACCATCTGGGGAAGCACCGACACCAACGTTAGAGGCGAATCACTACTACAATTCATGCTGGCAAACAACCTGGACACATTGAATGTAGGGAATAAACCAACCTTCATCACAAGAAATAGGAAGGAGGTACTTGATGTAACAATAGCCTCTACATATGTGAGTAACCTTGTTACAGAATGGCATGTGTCAGATGAAGAAAGTTGCTCGGATCACAGACACATACATTTCAAAGTAAAGAGCAACATAATTCAAGAAACTTATCGGAACCCAAGGAAAACGAAATGGGGAGCCTATCAAGCAGACCTATCCCGTAGTCTCTTGGCAACGCAGAGGAAGATAAGTACGAACGAGGACCTTGAGGGGGCTGTGGAGCAATTCAATGACATAGTCACCTCAGCGTTCAATAACAACTGTCCCCTTATCACAAGGAAGGCTGCCAGGAATGTGCCCTGGTGGAGCCACGAACTTGCAAGATTAAGGAAACAAGTGAGAAAGAAATTCAATAGTGCAAAAAAATCAGGAAGGTGGGATGAATACAAGACCGCCTTGGCCGGATATAAAAAAGCGATCAGCAAATCTAAAAGAGACTCCTGGAGGAAGTACTGTGAGGAGATAGAAAGCACTCAGGAATGCGCTAGACTCCAAAGGATACTCTCCAAAGATTCGAAATGTACAATATACTCTCTTAAGAACGAACAAGGAGAGTACACAAATACAGGAAAGAAAACAATAAAAGAACTCTTCAGAGTTCACTTTCCTGGATCTCAAATAGTTCGGACACCTGCTATGGGAAACGAAAACGGACTGGGGGCCCTATTGAAAGGATCCAGGGAAAGTTGGAACATAGCTAAAGAAGTGGTGACCTATGATAAAGTCGAATGGGCAGTTAACTCATTCGAACCCTTTAAATCACCAGGACCAGACGGGATCTACCCAGCACTGCTGCAAAAGGGAACAGAACCACTGATAAGGTGGCTCTGCAATATACTAAGAGGAAGTTTAGCTCTTGGATACATACCAAGAATTTGGAGGAAAGTGAGGGTCACCTTCATACCGAAACCTGGAAGAACTGGACAGGAAACGGCGAAGTCCCTCAGACCAATTAGTCTCATGTCATTCACACTGAAGACTTTAGAGAAGCTGGTAGACAGGCACATGAGGGACGGCGCACTGGTAGAAAACCCACTGCATCGAGACCAATATGCCTACAGGACCGGTTGTTCGACAGAAACGGCACTCCATAAACTTGTTGAAAGGGTGGAAAACACGCTGGAAAATAAAGAGGTATTATTAGCGGCCTTCTTAGACATAGAAGGAGCCTTTGACAATACCTCAATAAACTCTATAATTAGAGCTCTCAGACAGAGAGGAATCGAGGAACCCTGTGTGGCCTGGATAGACTCAATGTTGAGAAACAGAACGATTTACACCACTGTGATGGGAGAGACCGTAGAGGCCAGGGCGACCAGAGGATGCCCGCAGGGAGGAGTACTCTCCCCACTTCTGTGGAATCTGGTTATGGACGGGCTACTGAGGGTACTCAATGACAGTGGACATAGAGTCCTTGGATACGCAGACGACATAGTAGTCTTGGCACAAGGAAAGTATAATACCACAGTCAGAGATCGTATGATACAGGCTCTAGAACTGGTAACGGAATGGACGGATCAAGAAGGGCTGAATATCAGTCCTCACAAGGCCACCATGATAGCATTCACACGAAGACATAAACTAGAGGGATTAGGTCCTCTTAAACTTCGAGGCGAAACAATCCAGTTGAAAGAGGAGGTCAAATACCTCGGGGTGATATTAGATCCGAAACTGACTTGGAACCAACAACTGGAAAAGACAACCAAAAAAGCGGTAACGTCACTGATGATGACCAGACGCTCTTGTGGGAAGAAATGGGGACTGAGACCAAACATGCTGTACTGGTTGTACAACAGGGTGGTGATGCCTTCCATAACATATGCCTCTCTGGTA